ATTTCTGATTATTATCAATGTTGAAAACAGTTGTGCTGCCCAATACTTTCATGGTTTTTGTGATGCATTTTATTTTTCAGGATTCACAGATGAATAGAAAGTTCAAAAGAGCAACATTTATTTGCAATAGAAATCTTTTGTAACATTATAAATGTCTCTTCTGATCAGTTGAATGTGTCTGTTAATTGTTAATCGTCTGCTGCAGCTGCGTAAAGCCATCGAGGGCTCGATGACGGTGAAGGGCGTGAAGGTTCGTCCGCCGCTGGCGAGTTTCAGAGACAGTGGCACCAGCGGCACCAGCAGCGAAAGCGAAGCCACTGAACTCCACAAACTGTGGGATCGTCACACCAGCCTCAGCATTCCCCGAGAACACCAGCCCAACGCCTCCGACTCGGACGATAAGTCGCAGTGACCCGCGGCCGACGCTCACATCCAAAACCCCTCCGGTCTTCCCACACTTATCCTCTTTCCCTTCTGGAGAATCAGGGACTATCTGGACTCTGTCGAGGCTCCTCCAGTGTGCGTATGTGTGCGTTTATATGTGTGTCTGTTGCAGAAAGAGACAGATCATTTCATCTTTGACGTTACCTACCATTCCCTTTTTCACTTTTTAAGAAATGTTATGCACAAGCTCTGTTTGAACGCTTCATCTGGTGTCTCGTGGTTTTTACATTGGGGAATTTATATCTCACTGTTTTTTTTCTTGCAGTTCTTTTTTTCTCGCACTTATGAGTTTGTCTTTTTTCTTGCTATTCTGAACAATTCTCGCAATAATGCATTTTTTCTCGTGATGGACTTTTTCTAGCTCTTTTGACTTTTCTCGCTAGTCTTTATCTCATAATTATCTTTTTTTTTTTTCTCGCAATTTACTTTTCTCTTAGTTACAACTATTCTTGCAATTATAACTTTTTCTCACAATTATGACTTCTCGCAATTAGGATTTTCTCACAATTTAATTTTTTCACAATTGACTTTTCTCACAGTTGACTTTTTTCGGAATTAGACTTTTCTTTTTGCATGCATGACTTTTTTTCTCCCAATTGTGACTTTTTCGCAAGTATGAATTTCCTTCTCGCAATTATGACTCTTCTCACAATTTTTTTTTCCAGCAGTTATGACTTTTATTATTTTTTTTCACAATTATGACTTTTCTTCTCAGAATTGACTTTTTTTTCTCACAATTATGACTTTTCCGTAATTTTTTTTTTTCACAGTTATGACTTTTCTTTTTACAATTATGACTTTTTTTCTCACAATTGACTTTTCCGTAATTTTTTTTTCCCCGAAATTGACTTCTCATGTGACTTTTTTTCTTCACAATTATGACTTTTCTGTAATTTTTTTTTTATTTTTATTTTTTTTTTCAAAATTATAACACTTCTCACAATTTATTTCTCGCAATCCTGCTTTTTTCCCCTCACAATTCTTTACCTTTCATTCCCTGTGTCGGAGCTCTTCCTCTGTGTTCTCGCGTGTGGGCATTAGATGTTCCTCTATATAAAGCGGATCTGTAGGCGGACGCAGTAGGTGGCAGAGAGAATGAGACGGAGTGGGAGTGATTTTCTTTTTACCACAGTGTTTTTTTTTTTCTAAACTCTTTCAGACTTTTTTTTTTGCTCTTGCAGAATCTCCAACATGAGATTCAGTCGCCGTTTGAAGCCAAACCACTCGTATGTTATCTGGTCAGTGTCAGACTAGGCGAATCTCACCCACGCAGACTCTTATGTAAGGATGTGCACTTTTTACTGCTTTCTCTATTGGACATGACACTAACGTGCCTTTTTGAACGATTTGGCGCATTTATTTTTTGCATGTTTGCACTGAGGACGGTGAAATCAATCACAGTCAGCATTCAGCACAGCTACAACATCTGAATTGACAATAGTCAAATTATGAACAAATGAATGGTGAGGCTTAGAGGTTTTGGAGAATTGAAACATGTTTGCTTTGAAGTAACCACTCATTTTTATATATATATATTTTGGGAAATCAAAGGTCAGTCCTTCCCGCTGGTTTCCATTGATCGAGGAGAATGTGATGCCCTTTTTGATCGGTTTAGCACTTGGGCATAAAGCTGCAGGAAAACGCACGCATCCGACAGTAAAATCTCTCTTTCTGTCTCTTTCTGTCTCTCTGTTGTTGGATCTTTGGCTGGAACTTTGTGTTTTTTTAAAAATGTCTGATGAATTTCACAAAACTTGTCGAGAACTCATCCAGCTCGTATTTAAAACCATTTATTTTGAGCCATTTGAACATTAATTAATTTTTTCAAGTTTCGTATTTTTCCTCTAAATTCTTATTACTATAATGTGTTTGGATGTTTTACTTTACTGTATATATATATTTTTTCTATTTTGTAGTTTTTTGTTATGCTCTGATTATTTTCATTTGAATTCTCATTAGCAAAAAATTTTTTATTTATAGAATTTAAACCACATTTGTATTTGTAGTAGCTGTTTTGTTTTTTGTAATGAGATTGCAAATGAAAATCATCATTGAGAATAATGGAATAACACAGCTATTGTATATAAATAATTTACGTTTATCAATATAATTTTAATGTAAAAAATATAGTTAATGATCCTAAACGTGGGATGCATTTTCTTCAGACTAAATATAATTTTTTTCTCTACTTTGATTATGATTTTCATTTAAATTCTTATTGTACAAGTATTTAAGCACCATAGTAGTGTGTAAATATGTATAGAGAGAGATATATATCATTTGTAATGATAATTGAAATTAATACAAAAACAAAAGAAGATCAAAAATTAACAAATACAACTACATTGTATAAATACATAATTTGAGTATATCAATATTTTTTATGAAAATTGTCTTAGTGGTCCATAAAGTAGGATACATTTTCTTTAGGTAAAATATAATTATTTTAATAATTAATAATAATAATATTTCCCTGTGTTGATGATTATGATTTTCATCTAAATTTACATTGCAAAAAAAAGAAAGAAAATATTTATACATCATTATAGTATTGTACCTTTTTGATGTACTTTGTTTTATTATGATTATTAATATTAGTATGTAATGAGATTTTAAATGAAAATCATTATTGAGAATAACGAAACTTCAAAAATAACAAATGCAACCATACATACTTAAATAAATACTAATCATGTTTGGTCCTGGGTTGCATTTGCTTTAGGCTAAATATGATTTCTTATTTCTCTCTTTTGACTTTATGGTGAAATATTGACGCAGTCGTGGTCTTCTTGACAGGTTTTGTGAGATTCGTCTGCAAACATATTCATGCATTTCCACGAACAACAGCCGAATAGAACAAAAGTGAAATCTGAGAGTATTTTATTCACTGTTGTAAATGTTTGTAGAAATATTTCGTTTCGTCAGCTGATCGTTTTAATTGGAACCGAAATTAATTTATTTGATTCTGATTCATAACTGACAAATTTGACCAATAAGCTTTGATCTGTTCGCCGGTGGAGAAGAGGCTTATTTTTGTTGATTCATGTAGATTTACAGATTTTAATATATTTAAAATATCATATTAACGTAAATATTTTCTTCTTTTTGCCATTTGTATGTTCTTGTATTTGTACTTCCATTTAATGCAAGTCGTTTTTGACTTCTTCAGACAATATCTCTGTTTAGGAATATGCGATGCTTTTTCTTCCCTCGTCTTGAAACGTTGACCGAACGTTGTGGGAACGTTTTAATTGCATCTCAGAGAATGTTTTGTGTTTTGTGTCCAAAAATGGTGCCAGTATCATCTCTGAAATGATTTTATTAATACTGTAAGATACACTCTGAACGGACCAAAAGAGCAAAATCATGACTGCTTTATTAAATGTTGTGGTCCATTTCATTTCATGTGTTAGAATGTTGTTCTGAGAATCATATTTATTAACAATCTTACATGTGATCAACAAAGTAGATCAACCGTGATTTTATTTTTTATATTATTATTGTTGTTTTCAGTCATTGGAGGATAATGTATTTGTGCAATAACTTTTTGTTTGTTTGTTTTTAACCAGAATTAAAACTATCTATGACTTTATGCGGAGATTATTTTAAAGAAAATGTCTCGTTTTGCAGTATAAATATTTAAACATTCTTAAATCAAGATGCATTCTTGAGAAGCGAAAGATAAGATAAGGCTTGTTTTCTGAAAAATGTATGCTTAAAACAAGAATGCTAATGTGGTCAGAAAAATAAACTTAATTCAAATGGAAAACAAGATTATTTTTCTTACCCAGTTGGAAAATATTTTGATTTTGATTATAATTATAATTTTTTCAAAGTAAATGTGTCTTGATTTAAACACCATAATGCATTTATTCAATTTGAATGCTATTTCACATTCTGCTCATAACTTAATATTTTTCTACTAAACCATGTTGCGTCTGATCAGCAGCTTCTCACTCAGTAAATGTGGAGGAAAAAATGACGCAAAATTTCTATATATTTTTGTCGATATTGATGTACATTTTTATGTGAATATATCATTGTATAACATTTTTCATTTCGAGGCAGTTGATATGCAAGCACCGGATAGCTGCAGGGGTGTCCCCATACAAGTCCTCAAAAG